TTTTTTGTCTTTTGGGAACCTCCCAGTGAGTTTATTTCAAAGTTGATAAAAATGAACAGAGAACAGCTACTTTGGGGGAGCATAAAGATGTGTGTTTAATGTTTCATTCTCCAGAAAAAGGTACATGTGCAAGCTCACACCACTGATATAGGAACAGATGATGTGGACTCATTGGCAACCAAGGCTGTTTAACATGTTTCAGAAACTTCCTCCACCAGGCAGCTTGAGAACTGACCTATAACAAAACAAGGGCTTGCCACAAAAGTTTCCTCATTACTGCCAGGCAACCTATTTGTTTATAGCACAGGTGATGTGATAAGGAAAATAGTTAGGATGTAAGCTCTGTATATTTCAAGATGTAAAGGCAAGAGTTGCCAGTATGATCCACACTGGCTCTGGAGAGATAGTAAGAGGTCTGGGCTCTCTCACACACACTGCTACTGGGAATGCAAAATGGTACAGCCCCTGTGAAGGGGAATGTGTCAACATCTAGTAAAATGACATATACACTTACTTCCCTGAAGCTTTTCCAAAGGTACGCTGGAAAAAATGCAAAGTGATATGCCCATCACTATTTATTGACACGATTTACAGTATCAAAAGACTGAAAAAACCCCACATGCCCATCACGTATGGAGTAATATACAATTATAAAAAGGAATGAAAACAATCCTTATATACTGACATAGAATGATCTCCAGGATATAGTAAGTGAAAAAAAGGGTAGAGAACAGTTTTTATAGTATACCTAATCTTTTGTGTACAAAAAGGGAGAAATACACCACATATATGTGTTTGCTTATTATTTACATCAGAAGTTTGATGCGAAAATCTTACAAAACTGAAGGAAAAAGGAACCAGCAGGCAGTGATAGGAATGGAAGTAAACTTCTCTGAATGTACCTTGTTATCTAGGTTTGACTTTGGAAGCATAATACTTTTATTTTATTTTATTTTGAGGCTTGGTGTGAGGTTTATTTACTTATTTATTTTTTATTCATATTTGCATACAATGTTTGGGTCATTTCTTCCCCCCTTCCCCCACCTCCCCCTTAACCCCCCCCCTGTCGTCCCCTCCCTCTCCCCCCACCCCCTCGCTACCCGGCAGAAACTATTTTGCCCTTATCTCTAATTTAGTTGAAGAGAGAGTATTTCTTAATGCAAATCTCTATCTTGGGTTTTTTTTTTTTTCAGGATAACCTAAACTAAATCAACACAAACCCATTGATTATTTTTATACTGTAAATAATGGTGATTTTTTTATTAAAGAAACTAACATTTCACAGGCAGAATGAAGTAAAATTGGTCACCTCAAATATTTCAATGAAACAGAAACATCACACACACACACACACACACACACACACACACTACATACAATATGTCACAGCACCATAAGACAATGTCCCACAATAATTGCCTAGAAACATTTAAGATACAGTCTTCTTTTAATTTCTTGAACACTATACAGCTGGGTAGGGTGTTCTGAGAGAACAGACTTCAAATATGTTGTTTGTACTGTTTTGAGAACAGGAAAAAGTGAAAAAAATTCACCAACTGATATTATCATTGTTCTTATTGCTATAAATCAAAATATGTATTTGATAGAGTTTCAGGTGTCACAATCAGAACTTAAATTTTAATATCAGAGTAAGCCATTTACATATTTGACATCTTTGAAGAAAAATGTAGAGGAAGCATTGCATGTTTGAAGAACTTTTAATAACTCTACCCTATGAAGGAACTATTTTTGGAATAAATAAATAATAAAAGGTTGAAGTTTTGTTGAAAGAGTTAAAGAGATTAAAAAAAGAACCTCACATTCAAAAGAACAAGGTGATGAAAAGGAAAAGAACTATCTTATAAGGAATGATTCAGAACAGAAGTGGAGAAGAAATTTTGACCAAATCTATGGCAGATTATTCTTCAATATTGAGTTCATTTTTGTAGTAAGAGAAAATATCTCATTGAGGAGAAAAGCATGGCCATCCATTGAGGAGAAAAGGGTGGTCATGGAAATTCACTTTTGTTTACCAGTATAAACACTCTTAAATATCAACAAAAAATCAGAATAAGATTTCTGCTATGTTATTAGAGCCAACTGGTCTACCAAACGTTCTAATAATAGTTCTCACAAATTCTGTCACACATTATAATCACCTGGGAAGGCAGATTAGAATATAGATTGCTGGGCACTGCAGCTATTTGAGTCAGTAGAGGTCTGATGTGAGGAAGGGGAATCTGCACATTAACAAGCTTCCTAGTAAACTCAGAAGCCTGTGGTCTCTATCAAACCAAAAAATGCTGAAAGGCAATATAGTCAAAAATCCATCAGTCTGGAAGCTTTGCCTTCTGCTTCAATGAAGGTTGTTTTCTAAGACAACATCTTCTATCTCTCTATCATCTAATGAGCTTTTCATCTCTATAGCTTTATATTCTTATTCCCTCTGTAAAGGAAAAGTACCCATGTGTATGTGTGTATGCATGTGGGTGCATGCAAATAGGAGGGTTGGGGAAGTTTAACATTACAGTTCTTTTAGATAATTCTTGATCCCAATGGAACCAAGCTCTGATATTGTTTTCAAGACTCAATAGTTCCTATTGAATTGAAATCACAGTCTTGTTAACCTAGCGGTAGAGAAGTATTTCTTATAAAGAGTCAAAAACTTTCATAATTTACAATCACCCTCCTAACCAAACTCATTCTATATACATATTTGCTTATACTGCTAGCTGTATGGAATCAGAGCCTCTCCTAATGTCCTTAGGAAGCATTCCACTTGGATTATAGTTATTCTCCTATGTGTATATTCAGTATAGATTCTGACAGAAATAAGTCTTTTCTCTTGTACATAAGAATGTAATAAGTTGCCCCAGGATTCTTGGATCTTGATGAAAAGGAATCAGCCTCTTTTCTGCTCTGCATGCCAGGTGGGTAAGTAATTTATTCTCTATGAATAACTAGACTCAAGTTCAATGTAAGTAACAAAAGGGTATATTCCTGTTCAGGAAGACACCTGTCCATCTAGGGGCTTAAAACTGAAAGGAGTCAACGTGTGTGTGAAAATCACAGACAGGTCAAGAAAAGAAGGGAGTTATTTATTGCTTGTTGCATTTTGCGGAAGACCTAGATGTCTTGTTACCATCTTTACCTCCTGTTTCCTTTATAGAACTGTAGATCTTCATGAATTTTGGACAACTAACCAAGATTAACTTTATTTAAATGCCTGTATTAAAGATAAAACCTAAACATCTTCCTCTCTTTGCATGATTATATGACATATGCTTTCTTTGCACAAGTAATGCTGTACTGAGAAAAGCTGAAATCCAGTTATCAAAATCAGTCATTGGATAGGGGGAACTGCATGTTCAGAACCCATTTCTTTTCCTCCTTCATCAACAATATTCCTTTAGTTTTTAACCATTCAAGAGGAGATGTAGCCACTTGGGAGTTATAATTTATAAAAATTTTTCCATACTGATCCTCTTTTCCTTAAGCAAGCTTTGAGCATTAGGGCGTATTGCTCCATCCAGCGCTGTGCTGCGGGTTGAATTTCTATCCGAGTGCACAGCATGAAAGCTTGGGCCCATCTGTGTCACACAAAGCCAAACCTCTCTTGAAGTGATTTGTTTATAGTGTCATTTGATGGAGTGGAATGTTCTGTAACTCATTCGAACTGTTACAGAAGCTTGGCTAAAAGGTCACCACTGCTCTTTAGAGTTTCCAAGTCTGGGCACCATCTGGGAGCTTGTTAAAGATAAGGTTTTCCGCTGGCTTTTTCCATACCAACTAGAAACAATTAGCAAAGGACTAATTTTTCAGAGAAGTTTGTGTTCATATTATGTGTGTGTGTGCATGCTTGAGAGAATGAGAGAGAGAAAGAGAGAGAGAGAGAAGAGAGAATATAAATTATAGTTGACCAAAAGTACACAAGCCCATTTGCACCAAATCTGAGTATATGTGCCAAAGTAATAGCATTGTTTAATAGTCCTGAATGGCATTACAGTCTTGAAAGAGACAGAATTTGTTTTAAATGTCCTAGAATCAATATATTCTTCAAATGTAATCTTGGAAGTTAGTTGTAAAGGAAATTGAATCTTACCATTTCCTCAGAATTCAAAAGGAAAATTGCAACTTATTCCTTAAAACAATCAAGGCTATGCATGCTAAACAGTCACTCTGCATGGGATCAACATCATTCAAGTTGTTTTAATTTTACAGTTTTAGTCTAGGCCTAAAATTGGCTTGTTCTTACTTATTGCCTCCTTCTTTATGAAACAAGAGTCTTGAATTTTCCAAAAGTTCAGCTGTAAAACTGTAAGAGAACAGCAAGAGGAAAAGGAAAGTTTCCTTAAAAGACATCTCTAGTTGCTGCTGGTCATTCTATGCTCTCCCTCCAAACATTAACTGTGCCTTTTGACACTTGTCTTTGGAAAAAGTCCAAATGTGGCAAATGGTAGAAGCAACATTTCTTTACCCTCCTGCTTGGAACTTCCCATGATAGGGATGAACTGTAGCTAGTACTTTATGGTGAAACAAGGAAGTCAGCTACTCTCCACCACCCTCACCCATGTGTGCAAATGAAGTAAGTAAACACATTGGGAGATTACTGAATTAAAATCAAAATCCTTTCATTTAGTTGGAACCCTTGAAAGGGTCTGGACCAAAAAAGCTGCACAGTAGCAGCTAAAACATAGGCTCGTTGCCATTAAAAATATTCTAAGAATAGTGTGTGTGTGTGTGTGTGTGTGTGTGTGTGTTTGTGTGTGTCTAGCAGAGACTTGGGAGAGGAGAAATTTAAATATGGAACTATATTTTTGTTTTTTGCAGTTGTGAGTTAGAGACATTAAAAACACAACAATGTCTCCCTTAGTTCAATTAAGGTGGTCTGGAAAACAATATTGTCCTTAGGAAATAGGAGAAATCCATTTATATTCCTTCTGAAGCAAGGAAGGAGGTCTTTCTGGAAAAGTCTTTATGTTCCATTCAGGACCAGGAACTTAATCTTCAAGTTCAAAGCTCATCTCCTTAAAGCTTGCCTCATCATCAAAGCTTGTCTCTTCATCATAGAATACAGGGTGCACTGACTTTCTGTGCCGGGAATATTTCACTTGCAGGAGATCACCTATTTCATCAGTGGCTTCCAAAACCTGTAATGACATTGCCTGCCATAAGTTGTTTTTAAACCACTAAGTGGTTCTGTTCTGCAGAGCCCAGGTTAATGGCAAGCTTTACAAAGACCTAGTCTTACTTTGCCAGCTTTGATTTTAAAGAAAAGAGCAAGATCTATATCATTAGGTTGTGGTTTATAGGCCCTAGAGAAATGCTAGATACTAATTCATTTTATTTAATGGTCTAACTGTGCAGTATGAATGTTTATTTTATTTTGGGAGTGTGAGGAGAGGAACAGAAACATCTAACTCATCTAAACCTTTTAAACATTTAGTTGAAAGTTTAATGACTTACATATAACCTTATAGAAGATAAAGACAAGGTTGTAGAATACATTTGAGGTTATGCCTTCATAACACAGTAAATCAACCTGGCCAAGAACAAAATTGATCATTGTGGGAGCTAATTAATGTCATTCTCAATTCTCCCACGCATTATTACCCCTCATCCCTGCTTCTAAATACTTATCTTTATGTTCCATGGAGTTATAGAATGTGAATGGGATGAAGACCACAACTTGTTTCAATTCTCTGACTTTTAGTGGTAAATGTATCCCATCCCCAGTTTCACAAAGGAAACAACTAAGCTCCAGAAAGTAAAAAAATGTAAATTTTGCTTCTAGTAAATTTGCTGGTATTGAATACTAATCTGATGGCATTGGGCAAAGCTTTCAAATCTTTCTGAGTTTGTTTTTCTTAATGTGTTAAATGAAAAAGAAGATAATATTAGGGTCTGATGCTCTAAAAATGTCAGGGTGAAGGTTGGTAATATTAAAATGACTAAAGAAGTTTATGAGATTCTTCTTTGGGAAGTCTTCAAAATGACATCAGTTAAAATATCCACCAACATCTTTAGGGGAACTTATTTCTTGGTGGTAGGATAAGTGTTTAAAATGTTCTTCCTTGTTTTTCTAAATTTCCTGTATCAGTCTTTGTTCCAAAGGAAAATAACAAAATTATCTTCTAATCTCTATAGTTTCTCTTGATCTTTGCTAAAGGTAAGGGATTGAGAAGTTCAGTGGTCTCCAAAGAGAAATAACCGCATTTGAGGGATAGAGGTGATAATTCATGGAGGACAAAGGAAGAAACAATTAAGATTTCTATTTACTTTTATCTTGATCTCTTAAATGTCTGTTGTATAATGTATATAATATATTGGGAATGCATATCTCATTGACAAATAATTTGTGTTAAAGTACTCTGATCCAAGACCACAAGAACATACTTGTACTCAGTTTAGTTTTCCTCACCTTGCTATAGCATGGAACAACACATTCTAGCACCATGGCCATCTCAGTGACAGGTAGTTGTAAGGGGCTTCTTACTGCTTTTGAGTTTGTGCTGGAGATGCTTTTAAGGCAGCAGAGACCACTTTTGGTTTGGATGCTGTCAAGGAGTGGAAGTAGTTCATTGGCTAGCTATATTAAGGAGAAACCCAAGCTGTTCTTGGTAAAGGAATCAGAAAAGGGAGACATTTTGTGTCTGTTTTGTTCCATACATGGTCTCCAACTGGTCTTGTCTAATATTGTTTATATTCCATGAGCATTTAAGTTACTACCTTAATGCTTTGGCTATTCCACAGTGTCAAGTTTCACTTTCTCTAATGTATATATTAGGGAATTGCTCAAAACTTTTATTGAGATGGGTGCATGATCTCAGAAGTTCAGAGACATCTGTGTAGACAATGCCTCATGTTCCTTCCATACCATGCATTCTGTAGCAAAGAACTTGCTAAGAGAATCACAGATCTGACAGCTACAGACTTGGTTATACTTAAGTGCCTCAATGCTGTTTGGACCATAAGAAAAATAAGTCCATCTCTGTCATCTTTTCCTTCCTGTCTCCTCTGGGATCTTGCTCCCTGGTTAAGTCCCCTTCTCTTCCATGCCTGTAGGGCCATTTTTTCCACTGTCTTCTTCCTTTGATATATAAACGTGTTCAAGTTGTTCCCCATTTTCAAAGGTTTTTTCTTAAAGCCTTTTCTAGACCTAATTTTCTTGACTTGACAGCCAAACTTCTTGAAAAACTTGTTTATTCTTTCTTACCACCAACACATTCCATTTAAAAGAAGCAATTTACTAAAATGAATGTGCCAGAAATATAGATTATTTTAGAGAACTTGGAGAATATGGAAAGGTGTAAGGAACAACAGAGTTCACCCATCATCTTAAAACCTAGAATAAGCTCTGTTGATGATGGGTCATTCAATATATTTTACTGTGAACCTACTATGTATTATACACTGATTCTAAGTCCTGAGGCTACAAAGGTAAAGAAGAAGGAGATGGGCACTGTGTGTGTGTTTGTGTGTGTGCAATTGAGCTCAAACTATTCTCGTCACCCTTTTATTATTTATATTCTTATCTCTGTTCTCCATGTTCTTACAGAATTGCCCACACTAAGGAACATTGAGTTCCTACTAATTGTTAATCTAATAGTTTACCCTCATTTCTCAGCTCCTTTGAACATTAAGTTTTTTGGAATAATTGGATCTTCTTCCTCTTCCCTGAAACTCTTTTTTTTATAGTCTACTCTGACTGCTGTAGCTCCACCTAAATCTAGTTCTTACCTGTGATTCCTACATCCAGGAATGTAGGTGTGCCATAGGAGTCTTCCCTTTGACTGATCCCTCTTGCTTGTTTCTGGACAATTATATCTTTTACTATCAGCTTTAAGGGTCTCTTAGTTCCCTACATGACAGCAACTCCATCCTTGTATATTCTTCTACATGCTAGAACTTACGGTCTCTTTCATTAAAGGCCCATGAGCATGTAATCACAACATGCAGAACTGAGCTCACCTTATTTCCCCATTCCCCTTAAAGATTTGCTAATCCTTACTGTACCTAGTCTTACTAAACTATCAGCCACCTGTTTACCAGGCTACACACCCTGCATTTTTGGTTTTCTCCCCTTGCACGCTGTTCATCCAGTCATTTTTTAAATCATGGCAACTCATGCATTTGCAATTTCTGTTTATAGATCCATTTCTTTGGCATCTGCTGCCATCGGCTGTGTTATCTCTTATTTTGTTCAAATAGCTCAATTTTAGGTCTCTTCCTCTTGTTTCTTTTCTCCCCAGACCTATTTCTCACATTTATTTTATAGTGATAGGATTATGTTGCTCCACTGGTCAGAAATGTTGAATGATGCCCCATAATCTTTATTTTTAAAAAAGGTTCAGCTGAAAATTCACTTCCCTTGTAATTTTTACCATTATAATAATTCATTCCCACCTTCATGCTCCTACAATGTTCCACATTTCCTTCTCATATTAATGTCATTCTGTCTGACATTATCATTAGTTGCTTATTTTTGAGTATATTCTGGGCTTTTTGACTCAAGTTTTGCACATGGTAGACAATAATGTTTGCAAAACTGCATTGGTATTATGAGACAATTCCATTAACTCCAAACTGATTGAGATGGCTTAGTTCTCTAATATTACTCAATCAGATAACAAGTGAAGTCTAGGGACAATAAAATGCAGTTTTGAAATCATTTACACCTGACTTAGGTCTGGCTAATCTCATACAGATCTGTCCTTATTATTTTTTTAATATATCCCTGCCATTTCATGGCAGTTAATGCTAAAATAGCATGCAAAATCAGCCTTTTCATTTTGCAACAATTAAATAGCACATTTGGCTACTTAGTCTTTTTTTGGTGGCACTAGGATTTGAACTCAGGGTCTTTTGCTTGCTAGGCAAGTGTTCTATCACTTGAACCACACCTCCAGCCCTTTTTCATTTTAGGTTTTTTCCAGTTAGGGTCTTGCACTTTTTTTTTTTTTTTTGGCTTGGGCTAGCCTTGGATTGCTATCCTTCTACCTGTGTCTCCTGTGTAGCTGGGATTACAGACATGAAACACCATGCCTGCTACTCAGTCTTTTCTAAGAAAACAAAATATTAACTTGATTCAAGTGTTCACTAAACTGATTTTCTTTTCTATCTACTGAATCCATCACATTGCTGGATATTGTTGACATACACTAGTTTTTGAGCAGCAAGTTTCACTTGTCATTACTATTGTTTTCCTAGACACATGAGGGAAACCCAGAGATCCCTAAGCTAGCTCAATGAAAGTACTTGCTCAGAATCCAAGGCATCAGTACCAGAGATTCTCTTGGTCTGTGGGATACTCACCTTGTCTAACATCTCCTGAGTATGTGCAGATGAAACACAGAACCGAACTCGAGCTTCTGTGAGTGGAGTGGCTGGAAACCCAACCACCACTACCCCAATTTTTCTCTCTAACATAAGCCTTGCAAAAGCCCTTAGGGAAAAAGAAAGAAAAAAGAGAGGTTAACTAAAAGAAGACAGAATTATCCTGCCCCCCAAAAGGCTTATGGCTAATGGACTTTTCATTTTTTATGGTAATAAGTAGAGGATGATTAAAGTTATTAAACCTTGTCACATACAGTTGACATAGAAATGGATAGTCACTTTATATCCCCCATAACTGAGTGCGTGGTATTACGAGGCCTGACACACTCATTAGATAATTGTGGATGCTGAGTCTTGGAGATTGAGCAGAAAATACTGATGTATGAGACTCTGGTTTAACAGGTTTGCATTGATATTAACTCTTATACTTGCAGTGTTCCCACGAATAAAAAACAAACAGCTAACACAATACAATTATGAGAAACAATATATATTAAATGCAAACCTATTTGTTTAAAAAACTTAATACTAGTAATATATTTGACAGAAGAGAGGCAGGAAAAGTAGTGTGTGCACAAACAGAGAACCTCAGTGGCAGATGCAGCCTATAGGATAAAAGTCATATGACTATAAATCTCTTTGATGAGGATAAAACCTTTGTAAGCTATGATTCCTTCCCTTCATCCTTGTAGCTTTCTTCTTTTCCAAAGTTAATCTCAGTAATGATTCCAGAATATTAAACTCAAAGTCTATAAATTGCTTGTGCTGAGAGCCAAGGTCAGATAAAATGGCATGTACCCCCAAGTGAGTCTTTTCCCTCTTTGGACTCTGTTGGTCTCTGCAGGAAACCTTAATTACTGAGTGACTCGACCCATAAATGAAGTAAATGCTTCAGATCTGTTCTTACCATTAAGAGGTTACTGGTGTATTATTTTAGGCTGGAAGCTGACAGCACTACAGAAAACTTCCAGTCATAACTCAGGAAGAATTCTTGAGCCAGACGTGGAGAGTAAGCCTGCTTGTCCATTCATCCGTTTTGCTGTTTAGCAATCTGCCTTTTGGTTGCCTCATGCAGAACACAAGTTATCAAATGAAGCAGTGAAGACTGCAAGACCTACAGAACACACAGCCTCTCTGGGCCCCTGGCTCAGGCAAAGGCAAGATTTGCCCTTTGATTTCCACCAGGAAGGTTACAAGGCAATGAAGCTTTCTAGCTGAGAAAGCTTGAAAACAGAAGCTGTTCTTTCTCCTTCTTGATCACCCTATGGAAGGCTGCCCACGGTGCTGCACAGGATGAGAGTTCCTAATTGTCTGAGAAACAAGTCAAGTGCTTTTATTGCTAGAGTAAAAACCACCTGACCCATGATCTCAGGCCAGTTTTCGGGGCTCCCAGAAGATGGTTTTCACTGTCTGCTTGTTTCCCTTTTTACCAAAGGAAGTGAGTTTTGCCAAAGAATGCAGGCTGAAATATATCACTCTTTTGATTCATTATGCTAATCTGTGGCTTTCCTGGAGTACTTTAGAATTTAAAAGCTAAAGCCACTACAACTGGCATCATTAGGTTAATGTATATGATGCACAGAACATTTTATATAATAAGCCTTGGGTTTGTACTCCCCAAAGGAAATTAGAGTTGGCACACTCCTTCCTGCCACCCCTCCGGTACTGTGCATTATACACCTGAAAGTTTATTTCGGGTGCCTTTTTTGAGCTAATGATAAAGCATTAGGTAGACACCAGCTAAGTTTGGAATCTTCCTTCCAGAACATACCACCTACACCGCCACTTTGAATAAGTATGTGTGTTTTGGTGCGTTCCAAATTCAGATGTTAATGGGTCAGCTGCTACTTGGAGTCACCATCGTCACACTCCCTCTGCCATTAGCATACAGCAGAGTGGTTTTTAACATTTCTGTAACACTCTATCTCCAAGCATTGTTTCTCAGACCTAGACTGGTGAACAAAGAGCCAATGGGTGGTAATGGTGTGGCATGAAAATAACGCATTTGTGTGTTTTAACTGCTTGTTATTTTGCTGTGGTGACATGACATAATAGCATGCTTTGAAGAATCAGTGTTTGGTCAACTTACAACTCAACCTTTAGGGCTCAAACCTCTTTTACCTGTACTTTTCTGTATTGCAAATATTCTGCCAATCTGTTCAGATGATTAGAGGATCAAAAAGAAAGTTCCAGCAATGGGCTTAGGTTGGAGGAGAGTTAGTATCTCTAGAATCTGAGAAATGTTATGTTGAATATTACTTTCCACCATGTGCTTGCTCAAAGATACCAATACACATTTACATTTAGGAAGGAGTATAGTTAACTTCCTTCTAATCACAGAAGTAATGAGTATCTCACAGGTTGAAGAATGGTCCATGTAGAAAATTATCTGTGCCCTTTTAAGAGAAGTCATTTTTCCTCTTCATTCAGTTGTTGGAAATGCTCAATTTCAGAGTTTCAATCAGTGGAAAACCACCCAACAAGCTTACAGCAGAGGTATTAAATTTGGTGTTAAGAGAATGAACTTTGGAGTGGGCTTAGGTTTGGAGGTTTGCCTCTTAGTTTTGTTATTTGATTTGTAGGACTTTAAGCAAATTGTTTAACTCCTCTCAGCCTCAGCTTTTCCATACTTAGAATGAAGCTGTTCTCTTCTGAGGATGGCCATGAGAGAGAACCGTGGGTGAAAGCTCAGAGTCTGGTTGTTCTGATGGTAATGTCAGTAAAGCTGGTCTTCAGAGTTCCCTTGAGAAAGGTCTTGGGTCAAAAGGAGGTTCAGGATTATCCTGAATTTATAGTTGAGTGATTTCCCTGAATTTCCAGATCTTGAAGATGGTGGCAGGATGAGAGGTGGGCCTTAGTACCTGGACTGTTTTCTACAAGACATGTAGGAAAATCCCCATTGATGGCTGGCAGATGCCTTCTGAGAAGATGTACAAGTGAATTCTGAACTCCAGCCCCTCCTTTCAAGTACATAACCTAGTACCTGTAGAGAAAAGCCTCATAGTGTCAACAGCATCATCATTGTCAGGTTACCCTAGGGTTTTGGCATGATTTTGAGAGTTCTTGAATACTTACGCTACTTTACTAGGCATGTAAAGAAGCATGGGAACAACAGGAGAGCTATCATTGCCATAGATAATGAAGCCCATTTGCTTCAGTCTCTGTCTGAAGTATTTTATGTTTCTTGCAAGTTTCTGTATTTTCTTCAATCCTGAAAGGAGACAGGCATGAAATCTATCAGGAAAGTTCAGATCAACTTTGCAGGTATTTCTAAGTCTTTCTGTAGGCTTCCATATTAACTAGGAGGATGTGGAAATAGGATTGGGAACTATCTCCTGGCAAGCTGGTGTGGGCACTGTCCTGTGCCTGGAAGACAGGATGTGGAAGGGGTGCTGCTAGGTTGTAGAAGTAACTAAAGCTAGACAGGGCTGCAAGGTCAGTGGGAAGTAGGGAGTTACCTATTTGTATGGACTCTGTGCTTAAACACCTTAACTCAGGAGAAGAGAGTATGATAAAAAGTACACACCCACCCTCACATCACTTCAGTTGTTGGTAAATGCTTTTTATCTAAACTGAAGCAATCCAATAAATGCCCCTTATGTTAATCTCTAATAAAAGGACAATTCATTCAACTTGAATTCAAAGAAATAGCATATCCCTGGAAAAAGATGGGTCCACATGACTAGGGTGTTTTTGTGAAGCACTTTGTGGTGGTAGAGAAAGGAAGGAGATTTATGATTCAGCCAAAACAAAAGGACAGCATTGACCTCAAACAAAAGGATAAGCAAAGTGTGTGTATCCATGCCAAGGTAATTGGTGTTTCAACTCAAAAGCTTATCTTTGTCTCAAGTGTGTGCCCTACTGCCAAGGACATACATGTGTGATGATGACATAAATTCAAGAGTAGAAAAAGCTAGGAAGATACCTGCCTATTCCAGTACTAAGTAGGTAGCTGAATAAACGAGGAGAATTACAAGACTGTTCTCAATTCATTCTCTGAAAATGAATGGGATTGAACATTTAAGTCCCCTAGAAGTCAACCAAATGTTTGCAGTTGATGTAGGATTGCTACTCAGCAGTACAGTTGTACTGGTTGTCTGTAGCTGGCTTTCATTCTTATTGGTCAGGTGTTCTTTCAAACTGGACAGAAGTCCTTCTCTAGAAGTTATCCAATATTTTGGACATCTTCTATGGGTATTTGTAACCCTCCAAAGAGGAAAAGAGTAAACATTTCTGAGGACATTTGTCAATTGTGATCATTTAGTCCCTTCTAAGAAAAATGGTCCCAGATTGTACTTTATAAGGAATTGAGCTGTGGACATCTTCTGCTCAACATTTTTCTTCCAAGGAACTATGGCATTTGACTAAAGTTGGCCATACCTTTCCTCTTTACTGCAAGTCTAGCATGAGGCCCAGGCTTGGCTAATTGGAATATTCCATCCCCCTGATTATTGGTTCAATGATGGAACACAACCCAGGACAATTAGTCTTTTTTTCAGATGTACTGAGAAGAATGGAAAGAATGGGATAATCCTCAAAATACTTCAGTGCAACCATGTGAAGGAGCCTTTTTGATAATGGTGTTGATTCAGATGAAAGCCAAGGCACAAGACAGTGAAAATCTTGGGGGACATTATTTAAATTCTTGGGTCCAACCATGCCTAAGTTAGTCCATCATTAGGACTTCCCTATGTGTGAACAAGTAAATGTCATTTTCTGTGACCTATAAACAAATGTATCCTGAGTGAGATAGGTGGCTAATAGTTTGATTAGAAGTCCTAAAGAACAACAATAATATCAACAATACTGATTAGAGCCCACATACATGTAATATCACCACTCTTCTAAGCACTTGACCTGTAGTAATTTCTTTACTTCTCACAGCAACCATAATTTCAATAGGTCCTATAATCTGATGTTATATATAAGGGGAATCCAAATAACTTACTTAAATTCATATAGTTGGTAGGTAGCCAAGCCAGAATTTAACCTAGGTACTTGGGTACCATGAGCTGTGCTGTTAACTCCTACACTATAGTGCTCTGTCCAAGTAATGGACAGTGGCCATTTCTTTTTAAGTTTAATAAAAACTCTCATTTCTGTCAGATATTAAGATCAGAATTATGCCAATAAGTTGACAGGTTGAAGCCTGAGAAAGTTTTTGACAGCAATGTGTTGTAAGGGGTTGGGTATGACATCAAAGATTAGAATCTAAGGCTTATTAAAAGGGAGACCTGGTGAGCTCCTTTCACTTTGAGTAAGGGGCCTGAAGGTCCTACTCCAGGACTAAGGGTAAGCTAGTGCCTCCAAAGGGCACTTTCTTTATCTAATCCTCTGACATGTTGCATGATGGGCTTGGTTATTCCCTATATACCTTGAACCTTCTTCAAGAGTTTTTCTTTACTCATCAGGCTCAAGTAGATTTAACCTCTGCATCATAATTGTGCTAACAATACATGCAGAGGAACAGAGAGTTTGTTGAGTAGATTATCAACCAAGGAACAAGATACTGGATGCTCCAATTGTCTGTGCTTGTTACTGTCCTTCATCCACCCCTAGTCAAGGAAGGTCCTTCCTTAACTGCCAGATTCCAGTAAGCAGATTGTGATGGAGAAAAATATTTCTTATTGTACTTTCTCAAATAAGTTTGCCTCTCAGTGTCCATCCTAGCCTCAGACAATGGATGGAGAATGCCCTTGTCCCAGGGGAAGTCCATTTGTGTAATGACCAGGGAGCTATAAAGTAGTCTGTCACAGGAACCTTGACAAAGAGATAATAAATAGAATCTAAACAAACTAGATCCTCTTGCTACTAGAATGTGGATGAGAAAATTTTAGAGAGAACTAACAGGTGATAGTAGGAACGGATATTAGAAGCACAGAAAGAAAGGCTGATTTGCAGAATCTATGAGACGGAGTGAACCATTGTCTGGTAGAAGCTATGGCAACCTAGGAAGAAGAGAGGCAAGCAGTACAAAGTTAGTCAGTAGCAATAGGAGAGAAAATAAAGAAACAAAAACATGCTTATAGTCTCATAGAAAGGTAGATATTAATCAAACAATCACACAAATGGATATAAAATCACAACTCTGATGAGCACTGTGAAGAAATGCTATGCAGTGTTAAAACAGTTCATACATTAGTGAGATTGAACCAAATTCAAGGAAGTCAGTAAATGATGAGCAATCTGAGATCTGAAGGATGAGCAAGTTGCTGAGCTGGAAAAAAGCCAGAGAAGGGCAATGATGCTATGGTTGCTAGGAGAACAGAGTAGTTGAAAACCAAGCAAGATATGATTGAATGAGAAACAAGATGAGGCTGAAGAGACAGAAAATTGCCTAAAAAAGAAGGAGGGGTGAGTGTACAGGGACTGAAAATTCCAGCACTTAGTGGTTGAGAAGAGGAGGGAGAACCTAAAAGGTACACAAAACAGGAGCAATCAGAGAAAGAGAGGTGATTTATCTGGAGATGGAATAATGTTCATTGGATATATCAACATGGTAGTCATTGATAACCTTTACTTTGTGATTCCTGGATGGGACATTGTCCTTTTCCCATTTACCTCCTTCAAAAAATAATAACATCCCCACCCTTCTACTCTAGATTTGTAACACAAATGTAAGGGATCTAAAGAAGTGTGGGACCATCTGTATAAATTTTGTTCACAGACAACCCTTGTGTTTAAAAAAAAGAACTATTTTGTAACATGCTGATGTATTCCTTGGAAACTTACAGATGTAGTAAAAGCAGTGTATTTGGAGTATGAAACTAGAAATTAGGAAGGGGACTCTTTGTCTTTACTTAAAAAAAATCATCCATGCATCAAAACCTTGTGCCTAGAAAGTTAAGAATGTAAGGAGGAGAGGGAAGCTGTGGGCAGAAGGAAGAGAAGATAGCTATGGTAAGATGTGTTATAAAGGTGATTGAAAAGAAAGCACAGATATACATCCTAGTCACCAAAATGTATTCCATATGGCCTGTCTCCTTGTGTTTTCAGCTCTTGTTGATCATTATTTGCACAATAAACAGAAGACATCATCAGGCTGGTCCTGGTGATTCTTAAATGTCCCCCTTGCCCCAAAGACTAAAAGGATTTCCTGGCCTGGAAGTACACATAAAAAAATGCTTTTCCTAATGGCATTATCTTTGCACTTGCCTAAAACGACTCATCTATCATTGGACTTCCCTGTCTGTCCGCTCTGCCTTGATTAACCTGAGTAACTGAGTCATCAGTTAATGTCATCACTTCACTGCTTCTAGATCATTTGGAGACTTGACCAAACAGATCATAATATTAGTTCCAAGATTATCTGACTTGTAAGAACTGAATATTTTATTCTTGCCCTGTCTTTCCTATTTTGAACCAATTATTAGCATAGCCTGGTTGACAAGCCATTTTGACACATTTTGTGGTCACCATGTTTTCTCATATAGGTCATTATAAATGCCTTTGAGGTCTTAGAGTTGACCAAGATACAGTTCCTTTCAATTACTGTATTGCTCACTCTTGAAAATTGGAAACATTTGTATTCTTGCAGAAGGCCTGCGGGCAGAGAGAAATTTGTACATATAAAATGCTACTCATCTAGACAGGAAGTAAGTGATTTTATTAATTATGTAGTGCTTTCACATCTTTGCTTGAAGGGTGATGTATAAAAGCAGAAAGACTATTTTGTACATGTCCTTTTGCAAGGGATGGCCACTGTCAGTATGGCACCTGGGTATTGGGCATTACAGACAAATCCCCTTTGAAATTCTCAAAGTCCCTCACACAATATCTGATCCTTTTTTCACCTATTCCATAGAAGATAGGGAAGGTCCATAGAAGATAGGAAAGGTCCATACTCAGATAAGTAAGTGAATGTGACAATGTCTTATGTAGATTTCTGGAGAGTGTACATATCACTTATTTTGTCAAATTTTAGGCTGAGTGTTGACTGGAGAAGAAATAAACTTTGGAGCTAAATGAACTAGAATTGAGTGCTACCTGGACAAATGAAAGCCTTGAAATCCCATTGTTATCTGTAAAATAGAGATAAGATTATCTCATGGGATTATTAGGAGAAATAAAGAGATTAATACAGGAAAGCTAGCCAGTAATATATCAGGCATCCAGTAAGTACTTGAAAAGTTCATTATCTTTTTCAATAGAGCCCTAGTTCTTAGCAGCTTCAGTGTCATCCCTGAATCATCTGAAGTGGTTGACAGACTC